AAAATAGATATGTTAATATTTTTGTATATAAACTGGGAAGGGGACAAAAGGTAATGATTCTTATTTTTAGCAATGTAATTGTAATTTTACCTGATGAATTTAACTCTAGTCTAGGCTCCAAATGAGCCGAGTCGAGTATTGTTTTATCAAGGTAGGCTCGATTTTTCACTGCTACTCAAGCTCAAACTTGACTTTTTAGGTTCAGCTCGATTCGAAAAATATACAAATGCTCGAGATTGATTTGAATATCATTAGCTCTAATTTCACTCGAGTTCAACTCGAACTTTTAATATTTTTTTCTATTCAAATAAGAATTTTTCTCAACTTTGGCTTGAATTTAGCATGTGGTAGGAGTATTTTTAAGTTAAGCATGTTAATACTTAAACAACTCACCAAGCGTTTAAATTTATAGCATATACACTTGAGTTTGACTTTAATACTAGTTCAAGGTGTTCAAACTCGACTCATGCTCAGTCTAACTCTAATGTTGGCGAGCTAACTCATGCCTGGCTCGAATTTTTGTTGCTCTACTCGAGCCTAAAATTTGTTGTCCATATTAAACTCAATCGTCTTTCATGTCCAGTAGTTCTTTTTTTTTATCGGTGTGTCCAGTAATTCTCTTTTATTCCCTTTAGGGGTGGGTTTGGTTGTAATAATGAATTGGGATTGATATAATCTTCTTGATTGTGTCAAAGGCAATCCATCTATTTAGTTAGTTAGTCTATTAACTTGTTTGGTTTAACATTGAAAATTATATCCTTTAGATTGAAAATACTTTTATACTCTTCATTTACAATTAAATATTCCAAATAAGTCCACAAATTGAAAAAAGTTGGAGCACGACAAAAGAAAATGGTGAATCCAGCACAGACAATCTCTTCAATCAAAACGCTCAACTTTTGAAACCTAACCTCGGTTGTTCTCTTGCCTCTAGTGCAACCGCAAGGTATGCACCTCACCGGCCACCAAAACACGTACAAGCGGGAGAGAATCTCCACCAGGAAATCGCCTACTGACGCCGGTGGATTCCCTCGCCATCCGTCCACCACTGCCTTCAAGATTGACGGGCCGAGAAAATTTGGCCGATCTGAAATAAAAAAAATGGAAGGGTTAGACTGATCTGAAATTTACCCCTTGGACCAGTTGATTTGGAATTTACTCATTGGACCACAAGCTTGGGGGTTGGCTACTGATTTGGCTTATATATTGACAAATGAAGGGGGTAGGCTGATGCCTGCGAGCGTAGCGAGGGAAGTGGAGCGGAGCGAGCAGGCATCAGCCCCTATTGGGCTGGGTCGATTAGTTGGGCCGGGGGTGCGGGGGCGAAGGCCCCGCGGTACGGTACGGGGTATTTAAGTAAATTTATACCTTGTAGGGTTATAATATAAATACATGGTGTATTGATGTATTTGGATTATCGAGAATAATAAAAAGATCACTCCTCCGCCGTGGACGTAGGCATATTGCCGAACCACGTAAATTTGTGTTGTTTACTTTCTTGTTTTTTAATTTGTATTGTCATCGTTTCACAATATTGACGAAATGAAGCCTTACTTCTGTTGCTTTACAAAATTTAAAAAAACAAAAATAGAAGATGATGATGAAGAAGAAGGGAATGGGGTCTTGTTGTGTCAGACATAAATTCAAGGAAAAAGAGGAAATATGCATTAGGTTATATTTGTAAATTTAAATAAAAAATAGAGTGTGATAATACATCCCACCTATGAGGTGGGATACACAATACTGCAAGTTGTTAATAATTAATCGGATCTTTTCATTTTAACGGACTTGGACTATTTGAACCAAACATATTTATAAACATGAAATAATAACAATATGCATGTTATCAAGCCCAATCGGGCCAACTAAACTTTTTTCTATTGAAGAATTGAAGGCACGCACGCCGGAAATATACTTTTTCTATTCAACCTAAAAGGTGGTCCCATTATCCAAAGAGCTTAGAAATTGTTTTCTTTAATTATTAATAAAGCTTTCTTCAAACACTTTTCAACTATGAGATGAGATATGGAAGAATAACCTTATCATTTGCAAAAATTAATACTACATTTATTTCAAAAATTTTAATTGAATTAAAATTGGGCCAAGATTTGTAGATCCACCGTGTCCCCACGACATGTGAGGGTTCATTTCATGTGATTGGAGCTTGAGGGCATCCCATATCCTCTACACGTGTTTAAAGTTTAAGCCACAGTATTCATTAAGACCTGAGATATATTGATTATTATTTATATAAAAAAGTAGTTTGTCCAATAATATCTTTCTTGGGCCGGCCACCGCTTCTGGCAATGGGACAACGCAAAAAGTACTCACTCTCACAGACAACACAATCTTTAATCAATCAACTAAACCTCAACACTTGTTAATTACTCCAAAACCTCCAACCAAAATTCTACTGTCCACACACAGAATAAGGAATACTTCTTACTGTTGGATAAGGGTCGGGGTCCCCAGCATACCACTAAATTTTACAAAACCTTGTTAATTAATTTATTTATTATAGCCTACGATATATATTGATGCACCAACTTTAATGAAAAAAATAAACTAAATATATCAACTTAAATTCAACTGTTGGATAATGCATAATTATTGCTTACTGATCAATCAACTTAATTGTTT